GCAGAATTCAAACAACCTAATCTTCGTGTTCAAATTCCAGGTACTAAAACAAAATTCCCCACTAAAGCATGTGAGGGCAAAGTAATGTTCCAAGCTTTATGGAAAAGTTGAGCACTAAATAACTATAGATACGGGCACAGACATCACTAAAATGTCAAAGCTTAGTGTGGGTTTGCTTGTGTCATTTTTAAAATATTTGTCTTTATCTAATAAAATATGAATAGACAAATATTTTTGAATACTTGTGATATAAAAAGAGCTAAGTTCATGAAGTACAAGGATCGAGAAAGAAGAGAAATAGAGTCTATTTCTGTAAATAAGTCCTTTAAAGTATAATTTCTCTGGGTGTCACATCTATGTGTCTTATATAATCCTAGAACAATTCTAAGGAGGCAGCCAAGACAAAGCTTTTAAAACAGGCGAATAGTGAAATTAAGTAATTGCTTTTATCGTGTGAATTCATTTACATGAGGTACTCAGAATGGGTTGGTTCACGAGACAGAATGAATACAAAGTAGACTATACCAGGGCTAGCTGTAGGGGAGATCAGAGAGTTGTTGTTTAATGGTTGTAGTTCTGTCTTATGGCAGGCGGGAGGTTTTGGAAATGGATTCAGGGATAGTTGCACCAAATCATGGATGTTTTTAATGTCACCAAAGTGTACGACTAAAATGGCAAATTTTTGCTGTCATTTATTACATTTTTAAAAAGTCAACCATGACCTTTAAGTTAAAATACGCAATGAGAGCTTGAGTAGCCAGGAACAGTCCAAAGGGGCTGTGACTATCTTGATTTAACAGTTAGCTGCCCCAGCATCTCAGAATGTTAGCTACTCTGAAAGGTGGTGGTGGTGTTGTGGACTGGCTGAGTTTTCAGGTGATAGAAGTCTATGGCCCCCACTTGAGATGGCATATTTCCCAATACAGAGTTCTGCTTTGTGAAGGATTCTCCCATACCCTTGAAGATAGGAACCCCAAACACCTTTGATCTAAAATAAAATAATAAATTAGTATCAGCTTGCATTTCTGCAAATTAAAGTGATGGCAATATATGATTTGTGGCCTCTATCAGCTATGGGGTTCCATGCTTCTAAAGCGTGCTTTTCTCTGAATAGTTCCAATTTAAGTACAAGGAAGAAAAAAACGTGCATATATGCTCGCACGCGCACACACACATTTCTTTAACCATCTATGTTCTCTTCTGCATTCATCAGGGTTTACCCTATTTTTTTTCCATGAGGATCAGGGCCACAATGTAAACAAGCCAGCTTCCTAAAAGTGACCGTTAGTAGAAAGTTTGCTGAAGATGTCACTTTTAACTTTCATTAGCTAAGTTTCAAAAGGGCATGGTAGCTCACTCATATAATTTGAAGCACAATTAATAAAAACTCAGAAAAACTGAGGTTCAACCTGAAGGTCAAAAAAGTAAAATGGATCTTACCTTGACCTCAGTTCAAAATGGCGATCCTGCCTCCAGGAATCTCAGAATGAGGCTGTCTGAGAACTGTCTCCTCCTGTTTTATAATCCTCTCTCATTCTGGGATTAAAGGCAGGCACTGCCCGGGTTTTATGGTAACTAGTGTTGCTACTGGGATTAAAGGTGTGTGTTATACCACTTCCTGGTCTGTAAGGATGGCCAGTGTGGCTGTTTTGCTTTTCTGATCCTTAGGTAAGTTTTATTTACTAAAATACAAATGAAATGCCATCACAAGAATTCTAGCATTCGGGAGACTGGGGCAGGATTTAAAGCCCCAGGCTACCCTGGACTGCATAGTAAGACCCTGTCTCAAAACAAAACGGAAAAGGGCACTTTTCTCTTTTTGTTGTTGCTTTGTTTTTAAAGCAAAAATCCGACAGCAAAGGCTCATTTCTTTTTTAACCACTGGCAGAGTACAGACATCCAGAATCAAGCCACATGGTAATAGTACCTATTTCCCTGCCCAGGATTAGTTTGGTTTTTAAAAAGCAATCTGATTACTCCAGGATAGGAAAAGATTGAAGCACAGACACAGACATTGTTGTGACCACCTTCTATGAGCGGCAACATGGAGCGGTCGGTGCTTCTTCCCCACCCTGAAGAGCTGCAGACACTAAGCTCTTTCTACTTAACCTATCAAGACTGCTGTTAAGAAAGTTTATTTTCAATTTTTATCATTTAAGAGATTTAATGTTCTATGACTTATAGCACTTCAAAGAGGTAAAATGTAGCCAGATCTTAAAAATGTTTGCGATAAAATGGCTAGGAGGTCAGTTTTAAGGCAGATTTTCAGCAGACGTCTTGGATTTTGCCTGGATGGTATCATTAGTGTTATAAGAAATAGTATCTACTTCCTCAAAAACCTAAAACGGGTATGCGAGGCGGGGGGGGCGCGCCTGTCTCTCTGTCTGTCTGTATGCTTGTGCATGTGTGAATGTATACTCCTATTTGTGAAGGCCGGAGGACAATGTCATTCCTCAGAGGTCATTCACTTTACATGTTTCCTTTTGCTTTGTGGAACAGGATCTCTCCCTTGCCTAGAACTCTCCAGTAGTCTATCTGGATTTGCCAGAAGGCCCAGAGACACACCTCTGTCAGCCTCTCTAGCACTTCCAAGGGATCACAAGCCTACACCACCATGCCTACCTTTCCTTAGATGTGTAGTGAGGATCAAAATGTTGTCCTCATGCTTGCAAGACAGACATTTTACTAAACTAGCCCCGGCAGTTTAGGATTAATGGATGAAATAACAGTGGAGAATGAATTGTCCGGAGGAACAATCAGTGCTAACTTTTTCGGGTTGGGGCTGTATCTCAGTGGTAAAGTGCTTGCCAAGCATGTTCAAGGCCCTGGATTCAAGATCCAACAGAAAAACAAAATGACACCTCAAATACCAACAAAATACCCCAAAGATATGAAAAAACAAGTCAATATTAGAAGAATCTTAAAATTTAAAAACACATTCCATGTTAAGACAATGTGGCAATAATATGTCAATGGAAATTTTTATTAGATAATTTGGATTTTATGGTTTTTTTTTTAAAACTTGACAGTTGAGTGATTCCTAAGGCAAATGTCAAGAATATTGTTATCAGGAAACCTAAAATGTTTTAACATGATGTACGTTTCTTAGAAGATAAAAAAATCATATTTCAAATGAAGAAAAAATAATAAAGAGAAGATAATAATACTTCAAATACATAAAACTATAAGAATAGGTTATATTCAAAATTAAAAGACAAGGTGATATAAAAAAGATAGACAAAATTTTTATTTAATGCCCATATAACAATCGGATACAGTTCTGCCATGTACATAAAAGGTAGTACATACATGTAAACAAGCTAGTACATACATGTAAACAAGCTTATAGTATGTAATGTTTTTATATTCCAAGGTAAAATTTGCAGATAAAAGCTATGTGCACAAATTGTTTTCTGCCTTTATGACCCTCAGGGTTCGTCAGTAAGGAGAGCCACTGTTAATGGTTCAGAGATTTTTATGGGAGAGAAGCAACCTCACAGGGTAATCCAGTCATTACTGACGATGAAAACAACACATCTATCTATCTGGATATTCTCTTCCATGCTCCATGCTCCGTTTCCTTTGTGCTAGTTCCTAAATCCTTTCAACATTACTTCCCCTATCAAACACCATTAAGCCTCTGCTTGTAGCCAAGCACCAATCTCAGGTAGCTCTGCTAGGGAAAGGCAAAGAGAAAAGCACAGAGACATACTCTTAAGGATGCTGGTGTCCTCCCTGTCTGGACACTCCCTGCTCTAGCCTCATCCTTTGTTATTGGTCCTCTTGTCCACCCATAGCAAACTGTTTCTCATACTTTCATGTTTGACACTACATATAAAGGCACTACCTTCAACCTTCAATCTAGAAGAGCTTGCCTGCTTATAGACTTTATCTTCCTCTTAATAGTGTGGCAAACGGTTCATCTTCACTCATATCTACTCCAGGAAATCTTAACACCCTCTGTATGACTCCCAGAGCTGGGCTTTGTGTTTTGCTTATGCATGAATGTGTGCATTCATATATTGTTTGTGTGCACACATTCATCACTTACCACAGTGAATGGCTGCCACATCAATGTTGCCGTGTCTTGTACTGTCTGCTTTTAAGTCTACCTCAGTATTCCTTGAGGCAGAGATAATTTAACTACATCTCACTAACACCTAATGCAGTGCTAAGCTTATAGTTGAATGAACTAACAAATAACTGAAAGTAGAGGCAAGCTGACATCATGTAGATGGTGACCCACACCTGATAGAAGTTCTAACTGTATTCTTCTACTGGTAACCAGTAGAGCTAAGCATTCAAATGATGACAGAGACAGAGTGGGGTGTGGGGAGAGAAAAGACAGATTCTTTTGTATCTTAGAAAAATAAACAGTCTGAGTCTTTAAAAACAATCAATTAGGCATTAGGGTAATAACAAAAAGAAGGCATTAAAGCCAGCTCTATCACCTTCAGAATTATATATAAGGTAGCTTAGAATGATGCTGGTGATTAGCACACTGTCAGTATACCAAATGCCGGTTAAAATAAATTGCACTCAAAATTAAAGTACAGATCAGGAATACACTAATTTTTTGCATAATATCTTAAGAAAGCACCAGCCTCAAGCAGCTTCATGAAGATGATAAGGGGCCCATGAATCTTCAGACATGGCCAACACTAGCAACAGACTCTCAGATGCATTTTAAACATGGGAAAAACGTTTTCAAATGTAGACAGATGGTGAGGTTCCCAACAAAATCCAAATACATTCAAGGATGGCACTTAGTTCATATTCATTTTGTCACTAAATATCTTCTATGGTCATATAAAATAAGTACACAACTGCTGATAGACTGAATTCCTTAAAATGTTGACATCATCAAAACTATCTCAAGCCAAAAAAGAATGAGAATCTTCAACCTAAGGCATGGTACTAAACTCCTCAGACACAGTCTAATGCACATGAATTACAGTGCCTCACAATATATATGTGTGTGTGTGTGTGTGTGTGTGTGTGTGTGTATACATATGTATGTATTTAAATATCAGTCTCCTTTTTACCTACCACACTGATGAATAATGAATAATAATTGTGTAGTTAAATGTTGCTTCTATGTATAAAAGCAAATACTTAAACAATATATTTGAAGTAACAAGACATATATATACAAGTATATACACATATATATATGTATGTATATGTTTACTAAAATGCATCAATAATGCCAATTTATCAGCTACCTCAGACACCCAAATGTGAAATGTTTGATCAGCAAGATTTTCTATACTCGGATGCCCATGGGCAATCCTAGGGCTGCTCTGTCTCTGTTGCCTCATCTCATTTTGTAACAAGTCCAAGTTTCTCAACCAGCGGCCTTTCTTTCTCAACAACTGACAAGGAACAGCATGAACTCATCAGGAAGTTAGGGCAGGTTGATGGCCTGGTCCTCTGGGAATCTGGGAATCTTCTTAAACTCACTTTGCTTCCTGAAGAAAAGCTGGGCCAAAATATGGTCTGAGGTGGCCTGGAGATAATCGTCCATGTCAAGAGTTTGGACCTGCATGATGTAAAGCAAAAATGGTGTCAGTGCAATCCTGATCCAGGTTCTGCAGAGGCCTAAGGACGATCAAGGCATTGGCAGTATGGCCTGGTGCTTGTCCATCTAACTTCATATGGGTGACAGTGAGTGTCAGTCTCCCCTGGTCATGGGGAAATCACCTCTTCAGTTCTGAGAAGGAAAGTCTGATAGGAGAATGAGCTAAGATACCTCAGGCCTTCCTTCGAAGGAATCAGTCCTACTAAGAAATGCATCTACCCTTCTGTGAGCAAGAACTAGTAAAGACTTTCCACGACTCTACATCTGCAGCCATATGACGAAGCAAGGCCTACAGCCAGGTAAATGCTCCTGGTATTCTATGGCCACGTTGGCTTCTCCCAAAAGGATAATAATCTCTGCTTCAACATGAGAATGCCTATCCATTCCTGGGGATTGATATTAGTAAACATATTTACCAATAAATATTGGTTGCATCTTCTAGTATCTGCCATACTATGATAGAAATGATTTCATAAGTATATACTGATCCCTTGGTACAAAGTTCACAAACTAAAAAAGCAATGTAATCGGGAAATGTCTTGATTATCCTTATCTTCATACACTTTTTCTCATCTAGATAACTCATCCACCCCTTCCCTGAACACGTATTTATGAAGGCCTTCTTTGTCTGAACACATGGCTTAGCAGATTCCTGATGACTCATAGTCTTACCTGATCGCCGGTGCTGAGGGCAAGAACAAAGAGCAAATCCTCATCACATGTGTTCTTGATGTAATGCTGAGTTCCGATGGGGAAAAATACCACATCTCCAATGTGGATATTAAACTCTATAGTTCTCTGAGTGTCAATGATGCCCACCTAAGGCGAAATGATGCTTTAGAACACAAAGTCACACTCTCATTTGGATAAGTATTAAATGTGAAGACTAGACATACAACATAGCTTGTAGCTATATAGAGGTTTCTTAATAAGGATATGACAGAGCCCCCACAGAAGCCAAAAAATGCAACACTGACATAAATATCCATAACAGTATGCAAAAAAGGCATCAGCCATTATGTTCTAGTCATGGTCACAATGATGCCCCATATATATCAGAGAGGATTTATATTCAGTGTTTGCCCACCTAGATGCCTTCATTTATGTCATCTTGCATCACACCATCTGAACAGTCTTCCTTTTGCAATTTAGAGACTAAATATATATACAAAAGCACTCTATCCCACAAGAAACGTTCAGATTATTGAAACGCAATTCATAGAGGACCGCAATGCCCTTCTTCAATTTTCAAAGCCTTTCATCCCTGTAAGCATGCTAGACTTCTGGTCTGAGTGAACTTCATATGATTTTTGTTCTTTCATCCAAGGTTGAAAGAAATACAAACCATCCAAGTGTTTTGTTAAAACTATTTTACAAAATTACTATGGCAGTTTCAATTAAAATTTATTTTTGTTGATTCACTTGCCCCTCTTTCCTTTCTCCTATTATCCTGCCCATTCCCTTGTGCCCCTTCACCCTCTAGAGACTTCCTTTCCAAGCAAAGCCTTGTCTGTCTCTGGATTTTATGATAATCTATAGTAACTAATGTAAGATTCCTGTAGTAACATACTACACAGCTTGACCACATAAGTGATCGTCCAAGCAAACTACTTTCTGAGGAGGGAAAGGGGTTGTGAATAGTCTCAGCCAGGCCACAAGCATACTGCGGAGCATCTGAGAGGAACTGGGCCACATAACCATCACGCTGATGTCCCCAGCCTTTCCATTTCTGTCATTTGCCTTATGCGGAAAGAAAAGGTTGTTTCTGTGTCACCCTGGCAGAGCACTTTGCATTAGGTGATGGTGCAAAGCTGAAAACCTGGCTTGTTCTTCCGGCCTCTATCATAAGAAATAAGTCTTCATCCACTTCAGAAATACCTTTGCCCATCTCCGGAATACAGACTCTCTTGACTCTTTCTGTCTCATCAAATATGGCAAGCATGCAATGAGATCTGTGGAGTACCCTCTATAGTGTCCACCAAGTCATTAGGACAGGTGCCTTTTGTTCCTGATGACTAGGTGGACATGTGAAATACCTCCTATTTGCTTCTTTCTGCATCAAAAAAAAAGTTTTAAAGAAAGGTTTAGTGGGGAATTACCTTTCCACATCCGCTCACCACATATCCCATTTCATTTGCATTAAGATGAAAATGCGGTTGTCTCAATCCATTGTTATAAATCCTGAGTGTACTCAATGCGAGGACATTTTGATGCTTTCCAAAGAAAAGGAGAAAAGACTGTTATTTAACCAACACACTGCTCAGCAACTCAACCGTTCATAAATTCATAAAACACCCAATATTGCTGCATCTCTGCAAATACCTTCCATGTTCCTTATAGGTACCTCATCACTTACTGCTTACAACAAGCCTACACAACTGCATCGTTCCCCCTACTTCACAGGTGATGAGTGAAAAATTAAGTCAGTTGCCTAGAGCCACAGAGCAAAGACGTGGCAGAACTAGACTATGAACACGAGGAACTCTGCTACATCACCAGATTTTCTTAAAAGCATAAATTGAAACTCTCACAATGCTCTACTCTCTTCACTGATGAAACAGCTTTCATCAGGGAATTTTCATGGCCCTTGGAAACCTCAATTAGAAGCTCACATGAACGGACGCAGCCCATGTGGGCTTAGTTCAGGCTTCCCTTCTTCCAGTATGAAGAAGTGTGAATCAGATCTAAATCTGATAGTTTACCTGCCTGGACATTCATCAAAAGGTTTTCCCTTTGTAAAGAAGCCAAATTGTAAGAGCCAAATGAACAGGACCTTTGCTGTGAGGGTTCCTCTTCTTGAAATGTCAATAAAGTTACACCCATGAAACCTCATCAACATAGCTGCCTGAACAAGACCTGAACAAGAACAAAACATGCTAACAAGAAAGGGGAGGTCTCAGGAACCTCAACCCTTAGCAAAGAATCACAGGAAACTAGAAATGCTGAGAGGTAGAGAAATAGTCTTCCTCAGGGATAGCTAATAGAAGTGATATATGCACTAAACAGGTTTTATTTATATATTTAGGATTTCATATGTATATCTGTGTGTATATAGGTACATATATATATTTGTTTGTATAACAATAATTTAAAAAATAGAAGCCATGCTCTTGAGAGAAAACAAGGTGGGTATGCATAGGAAGGGTTAGTGGAAGGAAAGGGAAAGGAGAAAATAATATAATTATACTTTAATTTCAAAAGAAAAAAGAAAAAGAAAATAAATTAACATATTTAAAAATCTTTAAATGTTGTTTAATGGCAACAAAGAAAAAGTTCTTCCTCAATTACCTGATGTAGAAATTCATTGAAAATTTTCTCATTGCTGCTTAGTTCATTTGCATCCTTCCAGTACTGAGCTACTTGGATGGCTCCCCCTGGAAACTTATATTCTTTTGAGCCTGAATCAGATGAAATTTGAAGCATAATAACAAATACTTCAAAATTAAAAGCTCTTCTACTCACAGGTAACTTACATAATGTGAATTGGTGACCCCAGTGGACCAGTTGGGGGGAAGAGTAATGAATAGAGGAGCCGTCGTGGTCCTTCACATAAGGGATGGTATAGTCCTACACTGTGGCCAATATATGGTCCTTCTAATAAGGGATGGTATATTCCTACACTGTGGTCCACTCTAATCATTCCCTAAAACCAGATACATTTTCACTTCAAAGAGCAAGATTCATGGTTTCACACTTATTTAAAATCCTCACTCACTCTAATTTTCAGTTAAGATGCCATACAAACTCCTTAGCATGGCTTTTAAACCTTACAAGGCTGGGAACGTTCTCTGCCACCAGTGTCTGACCTGGCAGCATTTCCTAGGTCTCAAACATGCCCATCCCACTTTGCGATCCTTTGTAACATTCACTTTGGACTGCAGGACTTTCTCTACATTACTTACTCTGCTGAAAATGATGACATTTTTGTATTTTTGTTTTTATATTTCTCTTGGCAATAGCCCACCACCAAAAATACATTCCAAGCCAAAAATATATAACCATATATACAAATCTTAATGAAAAACCTTCATGAAACATGCCATACCTTTAAGGTCAAAAAAATATCTCCACACAATGCTGTCAGGAGACTGTATATAACTAGCATCCATAACAAGCTCTGCCAAGTTGGAAGGAAGATTGACCCCCTGATCCTCTGTTTGCTTCTGGAATCTTCTAATGAAATTAATTCCACCTTCAGGCTGAAACACAATCATAAATCACATGGATGGCTATGAAACACAACAAATTTTGATAACAACACAAGTAAGTGGCAGAGGGTGCAGTCGCGTGAGCGAGGATGGTTTTCATTGACTCAGGCAGAACAATTTCTGATATTTGTGAAAGTTTCCAATGCATTTTGGTTTTGAATGGTTCGATTGGAATGGTCAATGCAAATTGCTGCAAAAGCATACATTGTTTCCCGTGCTTAGCAGCATTCTCCCTAGGCAGCCATGCCTTCGACCTCTCTCGAGAACACTAGAAGCCCCAACTCCACTTAAAGGCAATCTCACAAGTTTACTGTGCAGAGTCCTATGCTTGTTACTGAGTCGTCTCCAGCTGCTAGCTGCAGACCCTCACTAGCTCTCCCCCATTAGCCCTGAGCATCTATGCCTGACCTTCCGTAACCAACAACATTGGTCATTCCCCTGTGGTAATGTATGTAAATGTCTGGAGAGGTCATTCATGATTATAGGACTAGTTTGCCGGAGCAAAAGGCTACGCTCTGCTATTGTACAGTAGGGCGACAGCAGCAGGCTGGGAAGAATAGACTGTGTGCTTTCTGGGGTTAGAAGGAAAGAGTTTCCACTGTAATGGCTACACGTTTAAGGAGGGGGACATGTTTGGCCTGATTAATATCACGTCATGTATACATGCCCTGAAACACCTTGGTACCTCGTTAACCGTTAAAACTTCGACAGATTTATTTCAAAGTGCCAGTTATTCAGGAAAGGATGGATTCTCTGCTGGAAATTAAGAAAACACAATGCCCACTGGGTGGTGGCAGCATGTGTCTCTAATCTCAGCACTAGGAAGGCAGAGACAGGTGAATCTCTAAGTCCATTATCAACCAGGTCTACAGAGTAAGTTCCACCACAGCCCAGGCTATGCAGAGAAACCCTGTCTCAAAATAAAAAAAGAGAAAAGATACAAAATTCTACCATATGTAGCAAACTTCTCCCCACAAAAAGGACAAGTGATCTTTTGACTCTTCAGGACTGTAAGAGGGAGTAATTTTCCATTAATTATATCACAGTCTTTTTATCAGTACATTCTGATTTCACGTGAAAGACATTCATAAAGGAATACCAAAAGAAAGGCAATGTCAACTTTGGTCATTAGTAGAAACACAAAACACACTTTTGAGTGTGTTGTTCAATCTCTACTGCCACTGTTGGCGAACCTGTGGATCTATGAAAATTGCTAGATTTTAGAAACACTGACAGTCGTAATCTTCATGATTTTACAAACATTACATACCTTAAGTGACCTGGAAGCAATGTCTTCAGGTGTAGAGAAAAACACATCATCAACATCTAATGTCTGTAGCTCATCATGTGTGGAAAAGAAGAGCAAGAAGAAGCAGTCTTCATGACCCACGTTCTTTATCCAGTGTAGTGTGTTTTTAGGAAAGAAGATCACTTGGCCAGCTGTGACATTGTATGTGGTCGCGACCTCACCTCCATCATCAACCACCCCGATCCATGCTGTCCCCTAAAACAGAAAAACTTTAGTTTCACTTAGACTAATGTTTCTCAATCGTCTTTTATCACCCATTTTATAAGCATAGTTTTCAAACACTTTTCCTCCTGTTACCTTATAAAAATTTAATACAATAGTTATTTGATGCCGTGTGTGTGTGTTTGTGTGTGTAGCAACTTTTATTTTTTTAAATATTTATTGTGTATACAATATTCTGTCTGTGTGTATGTCTGCAGGTCAGAAGAGGGCACCAGACCTCATTACAGATGGTTGTGAGCCACCATGTGGTTGCCAGGAAGTGAACTCAGGACCTTTGGAAGAGCAGACAATGCTCTTAACCACTGAGCCATCTCTCCAGCCCTGAGAGATGGCTTTTGCCCCCCACCAAGAATTCATTTTTCCTCTTTGAGGGAAACATGGCTCCCACTAAGATTCTATATTTTAGAATTGTTTACATGTTTAGAACATGTTTTAAAAGACTGAAGCAATGCATGCAAAATCTGTGCAGGTAATTACACAAGCACATATGTTTGCATATGCACTTTGTGCATATGTGGAGACACACAGATACATGTAAATTGAAAATAAGAAAAATTCCGTATATAATTTTAATAATGGAGATGGCAGCATATACTTAATACTTATTATATCAGGTACCTATCAAAGCACTTTACTTGGTTGAATTCAATTTCTATTATTCTTATTTTGTAGGTGAGAAAACTGAACTTGTTTAAGAAAATACATTTTCTTGAAGTTACTCCAGCTAGTTGGTGACAAATATTGGATATGGGCCTAAGAAAGCAAACCCCAAAGTCGCATTTTTTTTGTCCATCCTACATCATACTTGAAGTCTTCTACTACAAAATTAAAGTAAGCTAATGAGTGAAGGTATTACTAAGTAATGTAACTGAATCTAATTAAATCCTGGATGTGAGCATACCATTTAGTTTCGTTTATTTTGTGACAACTAACATACTACCCTGAGGACAAATCATGTTTGTTTTCATTTTCTACTCTCTTCTTCAATATTTATTCATATTATTGTCATTATTTATATCTTATCAGACACTGATGGTCATATAGTGAAACAAATAAAGGATAGATTAAAAACAGAAGGGTTTGTTCTATCAAAAGAAGTTTTTGTTATATCTGGACAGGCAATATGAATCTTGAATACAAATGGGTGTTAAAGAAAGATAAACATAGTCTAAAGAAGTGGTTTTCAACCTTACTAATGTTGTGACCTTTTAACACAGTTCATGTTGTGGTGGCCCAAGCATAAAATTATTTTCATTGCTAGCTACTTCATAACTGTAATTTTGCTAGTGTTATGAGTTGTAATGTAGATAGCTGATATCCAGGATATCTGCTATGCAACGCGTATGGGGGTCTTGCCCCACAGGTGGAGAACTGCCTCATCCACATGCAGGCTACTGCACAGATATCCATCTATCAGGACATCAGCCTCTGTATAGGTAGATCAGAGGCAGCAGAGGAGTCAACAGGATGGTCACTGTTGGGCCAGGCTCACCAGCCACCTCATCTACCAGGCTCCCCTCAAAGATGGTGCCAAGGCCTCCAGCAATTTACTCAGAGGCAAACAGACACAGACTCTACAGACTTGTGGGTAGCCCTGACTGATGTGGAACTCTCTCTGTAGACCAGGCTGGCCTGATCAGAGATAGCCTGTCTCTGCCTCCCTAGTTATGGACTACGGGATTGCACCAAGGGGAGCCCTAACAACAGAAATTATGCCATACAAGTAACTAGGTTATGGGATCAGACAGTTCTGGAAGAACTTAGCCACAATTGTTTCCTCCAGTTGGGAATACCAGAGATGACTGACAAGCCACTTTTGAAACAGAATAAGCTAAAACTCAAGTAACTATACCCATTTCACCTGAATTCATCTATTTCACTTGAATTGAGAATCTTCTGGAAGGTCTAATCAACAAAAGCTCACGCAATGGCCTGATATTGGAATCTACACAGAACGTCAGTTTACTAATTTGTTACTCCAGCTGTGGCTCCAGTTCTCTTAGGAGAAGCCCTTGTTTTATTGATCTTTAGATCAGAGTTACTACTTTGTCTGTGGCCCAATGGACTAAACTATTTTATTTTAGCTTTAGCAAAATTTGCTGTTTCTGTAATAACATGATATAAAATTGAAATTAAAATGTGTCATCAAGCCTTATGTATACAGCTAACATTTATTTTGAGAAATAGGTGTGTGTTACATATTCAGCTAGTCATTCAATATTTTCATCCCTTGCTGAATTAAAAAATGCATAAATATGTAAATAGTACTAAATAAAAATACATACTTAACAATAGTCATATAAAATTGGTCTCTTAAAATATTAAAGAAAAATTTTAGAGGAGTCTCAAGATTTATAGGAAAATTCAACAGTGATTTTAACAATAATTAGTTGAACATGACGGCAAATTCTCTAAGCTAGCTAATCTAACTGAAAGCCAGATGCTTGTCTATGGCTCACTTAGGAGACTTGATGACAACTGAGATAACACGCAGAGGGCATAAGTATAAAACTGAAGAGCGGAAGAGGGCGAACCGCTTCTACCTGCACGAGATAGCCATGCTCGTTGGCATTGAAGTGCCAGTGAGGAGCCCGGAGACCCTTGCTCTTTATTCTCAGTGTCCCCAGCGTCATCTGTGATCTCAGACTGTTCAAGCTGGTGCCAAATGCCTCTTCTTCAACACTGAGATAGTCTTTAATGTTGTTCCTGTACCTTGCCCACTGGATTGCACCACCAGGGAACTCAAATACCTAAAAAATCGTAAGCAAGCAAACATCAGCATTGAGCCTATAGTACACGTTTTTGTCCATAAAGAATGTGACCCCACTATTATTGACAGAGTAAGCAGGAGTCAAAACGAAAAGGTGAGGTGGGGTGAGTTTTAGGGTTCCCAAAAGGACACACTGCTGTAAAAGTCTAGGAGTTAACAGTTGTTTATGCCATGCCACCAGACGAATCCTGCCATACACACACACGCACACACACACACAAAAAAAACACACATATACATACACACACCACACAGAAACCACACACACACCACAGATACCACACACACACCTGACACATCACACACACACCACAGACACACGCCACACACATATTACACACACACCACACACAGCACACAGATACGCATGCCACACACATCACACACCACAGACACATGCCACACACACACACAGCACACATACATACGCCACACATACACCAGACACACACATGCACACCACATACCACACAGACACACACCACAAAGACACACACCACACAGACACCACACACACACCTGACACATCACACACACACCACAGACACACGCCACACA